GTAGTCATCACGAAATCTGGGGAATGCGATTCGAAATTTTCGAATCGAATATTTCGCTTACCCTTTCCACATAGCTATGCATAATATTCCCATAACGAACATGTACACACCAACGATAGCGTACAGCAGTCTGAACTGAACTAACGCCAGTGAGCCTTGAAAGAGGTAGAAGAGTCCTCTTCCCCATAACAAAGTGAGGAACTTGGCGTATTCGTATCTAGTGACAACTACGTCACGAAATTGGCACAAAGTTAACTCCACATTTTTTCCTGCCAATGAACGCGTTCTCTGAGCAGTTCTGGGTTGGCCTCAAGAATGCAAGTAATACCTCCGAAGAGAAATTGATATCTGATAATGCATGATATCTCAACCACCTCCTGAGTGGCCTTGACTGACGCATTGCAAAGGTAATCGATTGGATGTATAATAGTCGAGAAAATGTTCAACACTCCGAGGGCTCCAGTGAGCGTAACACCGAGACCTCCAACGAAGCATAGAACTCGAAGACCATTCGGGCCTTGTTGAATGTAGTGATGCACCTATAGTGGTATATGATAGGTGGATAGTGAGGGATTAACTCACCTGTACGAGGCCCTGTTGGGCTGCGTTAGAGGCGGCCAAAAGTGTTTGACGACCCATCTCGAGGGCTACTTGACCGGTGGCCTCACTGAAGGCGGGGGCACCAGTGTTGGTGCTTGGCATACTCCTTGACTAAAGGCTTTGGGGAGGCGTTGAGAGGTGGTCAGAATCAGTGTTGTTGGCGAGTTGAGTGGCGCGCGAGTAAGCAAAAAAGTAGCGAGAGTAAAGTGGAAGGGATATCGCTGTGAGCGACGGCGTTGACAGTGTGCCTATAGCTTAGAGATCTTAGTGAACTACGGACCTTAATTTTAGAACTAGGAACTAACGCTGGGCGTAAAACCTCAATGGTATCACGATGTCGTCAATACTCCTCTGGTGGGGCATTTCCTCATGCGCGCCCCTAAATTTCTCGCCCCGCCCCGAAAATTCTCAGTCCGCCCCTAAATTCCTCAATCCGCCCCCAAATTGCTCAAGTATGCCACATGCGACGTAAAGTTCGATGAGGCATCCGCTGTCGTGCCAGCTTTTCTGAGACTGACATACTTGACACAGTCTCTGCCTCTTAGCTCTGTTAGAGTAGCTAAGACAGAGTAAACGCTCTGTTCTGGGGCGTTTACTTGGTTCTGGAACCGTTCTAATTGAACTATCCCACCAAAGTGAACGGTGAATCTGAATCTGGGGTAGAGGTTGGAGATATGCGATAAATTGTTTCTTCAGTGAGAGGATATGTATAAGTTGGCCGCCGATGTGTGCCTTGCAAGTCAGCGGGTGGTCACTGGCAATGCTTCACGGTCGTGACTTTATGCCGCCCCGCAGATAATGCCTGTCGCCCTTAAGCTACTTAGTGGTCAACCGAATTAGCAAATGCTGAAACGGTCTTCTAGATAGTAACGTAACTGCTTGATGATGACTCGCACTGCGAGTCTCGTGGCTAT